AAAAAAAAACAGAGACATTAATGAGTTTTTTTATACTGAAAATAATCTATTGATAAAATTACTAAACGCATTTTTAAAAATAATTTCTATCTGAGATTGAAACGTTTTCATTTTCATTTTTATACAAAAAATAAAATCATTTTAAAATGAGTTCTAAACGCGCCCATAGTTTTTGATACGTGAGCCTAACACGACGTGACGATAAACATGAAAATAGCAAGATATATTGAGCACGTTAAATTGATACAATAAATATAATTTTTTTCTTTTAATAATAATATTTTGTTATTGTTACATATCTCTAAATAAATATAAAAATTATTGTTACAAATAATTTTTAATAGGATTAATTTGTTATTCTTTTATGTTAGTTATCTAATCTTCTCATTATTAATTTAAATAACATCAAAAATTTTATTTATAAATTAGTACTTATGATAATGATGACATCTAGGATTTTTATTGTTAATAATAGCATATGAAATTATATTTTATTTGAAAACTCTCTAAAAAAATAAATTTTATATGACTTAATAGTTTAATGGACCGATCTAAAGATTCATTATGTCATGCAAGATAAAAAGTATGAGTTTGACAAGAGCACGAGCACGAATGGTCCTGAGCCCATGGGCCGGACTTATATTTTTAAATCTTCGACTAGCACGAATACGTCACGAAATTTCAATGGGCTAGGTCAAACACGACACAAAACACGCATAATTGACATCTTTAGTTCTAATGATTCTGTTATGATATTTTTTCTCACAAAAATTTAAATTTTAATTCAAACAATTTAGGCCTCGTTTATTTCACCGATTCGAATTTTCAGTTCTAAATTTCTACAGTAAAAAGCTCTCAGAAAATGTAACATCAAACTTTTTCTGCTACAGTTAAAAGTTCTCACAAAATGTCACATCTCAACTCGAATTAAAAACTTGAATCCACGAAGTGAATAAGACCTTAGTTTGAGCCTATAAACCAAAGAGGCACTATTCATTTGTCTTAACTCCTCCACATCACCTTGTTTGTTGAACTGTTCGACCACGTGCATGTCACGTTGTATGGCTATGGGCCTTTTCGTGATGGGAAAATAAGAAGTGTAAATGGTTTAACCTATGAAAGTCTAGTTAATCATCCGTACACGTTTGAATTACAATTTAAATTGTTTTGATACAATGTCTTTTTATAAAAGTTTAAATTTATGTTTCAACGTTCTGTTAATCAAAGGAGTAACTTTTTGCAAAAAAAAAAAAAAAAAAAAAAAAGAGATATATTTGAATAATTTCCTCTAAAAATAGTTCTTTTTATTCACTCTCGAATTTGGTCATCAGCTTTTCAAAATTATGAATCTTAATTTATATTCTATACATTTATTCGTGTAGTTAATTTAGTCCTATAAATAGTCTATAAACTGAAGAGGAAAATGTTATACGATCGACTATCAAAATTTTGGATATAAATTGTTAAATTGGATTTGTAGCTGGATTATTTAAAAGATTTAACAGTACCTTTGTACTTTTTTGCTTCATTATGTCACTGTATTTTTCCCTCTAAAATGAGTCCCTTTTTCTCTTTTGTTCTCTCTAAAGTTAGTTTTTAAATTGATTTTAGTAAGTTTGAATCGTACATGTTTTATGAGAAATCAAAAGTAGTATTTTTAGCATATAATTTGTGTGATATTCAGGAAATTAATCATAACAAAATGACATTACATGAACTGTGTTCTCGTTAGTTTTGGAGCTCACGAGATGTATTTTAATAATTGAGAAAGAGAGATGAGAGCATCACAATTTTTATACACGTGAACTTCACTAACATAATATATCTGCAATTTATTTGTGTGTGACAATACATGCTTTGTACATAGTCTCAACTCTCACGTATATGTCCCTTCCATGTATATTCTTGGTATCTTCATTATTGTAATGTGACTTCAATATTCTTGGTGAACCGTGAACGGAAGGGATTGTGTTTTTCGTGTTTACGACATTTATGGACCCGTGGGGTCTTTTATATGAATTTGAATCAGTTATGCGTATGTGTTAATTTATCATGTTTTCATATGTTGGTCGCGAAAGACATCATACTTTCTCATAAGTTGTTAATTTACCCGACTACTATGAGTCCATGGCACATTTTATTTCGGCTATGCCATTGTCACCTGAAAAAATCACCATTTAGTTAAGTCTCTGAATTTGAAAGAAATAATGAATAAAAAGTTGCATACTTGGAAATTACTGTGGTTCTAATATAATCAATCACAGTCAACTTGTTGGACGTTGCACTTTTTACTAGTTCTCCGACATTGTTTCTTCTGCATCTGGATATAGAACAAAGCCACTTTTTTTTCTCTCTCTTTCTGAAAAACAAAGAACATTTATATCTCCAAGTTAAAGTTGACATTTTATTTAACTTTTTTTCATGAAAATTGATCAATTAGCAATTATGATCGTACGAGTGTTCACGAACTTTCCTCGTATTAATGTGCCGAAGTAAGTACCAAAAGTAAAGCCACATATAAACCGACTTTCACACATGAAAACTCACTTCTTTCTATGTTTCCCTTCTTTTGAGCAACAAACCCTTTTCCAATTTTGATGAAAGCATATGTATACTTTCAAAGTCTACAAAATGAAATCAAACCTGCGATCTTCTTACTTTTTAGTTGGGAAAGTTAGAATTTTATGTTTGTAACAAATTTATTAGTAGTTTTGACTTTATATCATATTAGAAAATCTCTTAAAACTAGTTTGGATAACTATTAGGGGTTTGGAGAAAAATCGACAAAATATTGGTTTGTTGAATTGAGAAGTACTGCCAAAAACTGTTTGAGCCAAGATCACATTCGGCTGCTATAAGGGAAAGA